ATAGCACTCTTATGTCATCGGCAAAAAGGAAAGTTTTACCGTATTAGCAGAATGAACCATCAGGATCAGGAGAAGTATCTTTTCGTCTAGAAAATATGATCTCACTGTAAACTCTTGTGAAGACATAAAAAATCAGTCAGAATTAAAATTTTTCTAATTATTTTCGTACTTGCTGAACTCACTAATATTGAATTTTCGAATAATCACACCAACTGTTGTCATGACTGAACCAATATCCAATATCTTCATGTTGAGCTTGAATAAACTGATGGATTTCTTTGTGTTTTCTTTCTTGGTTTAAATCTACGGCTCTAATTCGTTGGTTTTAAATGACGGTGTAACCTACCGTTGTCTGTTACTCAGTGCCCCATTTACAATGTACCACAAAGCCGACAAATTTTGGCTTAGAAGATAAATTATCACTATATAGTGTGTTAATATTCTGGCATTCAAGGTCTGCGATATTTTGGCAGTTTGGTTGGTCAATGTTGACTAGTTAGTTGAAGATGGGTGTTGTAAGTTTAAAAGCCATATCTGAAGTCCAAACCACTCATCTCATTTCATTTAACATTCAAATGATGAAAATATGTTTTGCGTTTTATACTACACGCATGCGAAACCCCGAGTAAAAACATGAATCCAAGAAGTCAAGTTACATCTTTTACGTTTCATAACGCCTCTTGACATTATAACTTCATGAGTTTTTACAAGCTCTCCTATGATGAGCGATTAAAACCCTCAAGCAATTTTTTCTGATTTATAAATAGTTGAGAAATTATCTTATGTTAGCATTCCGAACCGTAGATAACGACTTCAATGTTTACACGAGTGATACTCAAGATCTATCTAGAAATTATTATTTTCAATTTCACTGCAAGAAGGTTCAAAAACTGCGATCAGATAACTAGATATGACTTCCTTTTCCCATTGAGATTCGAACTGCTTAGTTGAACAAGCGACGCCAGTCACATCAGCGAACACTTTAGGAGAAATTAATTTGTCACTGGAAAGAAAGCTGCTGGGGTTAACACAGTTCAACTAACCTATTAACGCTGTTCGTGAAGACAGAAGACTGAATTTGACAGTTGTTTGGAGGTAAATACTTAATAAACAAACATGAGTGTGTTTTTCTAATGCAACAGGGTTACTACAGTCAACAGCTATCACTATATATGTCAGGAAATTGATAGGCCGTGATATGAGAGGTGCAAATAAATTGACTGCATGCAGATTTTCGAGTCCGCAGACGGTACACCATGGTTACGGGCGTATTAATCATATCTGCCCTTATATTTGTCCACTGTAGGCTGCTGAAATCACGTCAGCCGGGAGAGTACTGGACCTTGAAATAATATTCGTCTTAATTACCATAGTGAAACGTGGTGTTCCAATGGAATTCTTTATTCAGGATGACTTCGATTACTTGTTATATCATATGATATTGTCAAATCGTCTCATTACCTCTGTCACCCAACGGAAACGATCTGAAGTTCAGACACACATCGTCATATAATATATCTGTAGAACTATGGTCTACTATGATATTAGCACTGCTCTAATAATAGACCTTATCCTAAAATTGTGGCTTTGTCATGATATAACTGCCTAATCCATAAGATCTTACGTGGAAGTCACACCATCGACTACACCAGCTCACTGTATCGTATCAATTACCAATACATGATGTAGAACAAGGTTAGGCTGGAGAAGGAACAATATATTTAATATGAATAGAAGATATAAGGTAACATTCAGAGGGACCACGCCTGCATGGCTGAGCCATGCCATCCGATCAACTCCAATTCCTTGTTCGCGCCTTCCCCATCGTTAGATATTTCTCCGCGTTAAATATTGAATATCTACTTTCTGAGTAGTCTCGTGTTCAGCTTTGAGGATTGTGTGATTATGGTCCAATGCCACTACATATCCCTTTTTCATACCATTCACTTTGTTTTCCATTTCTGTACCTGGTGTTGAGAAGAGGCTGTACAATAACGTTACTGATTTTTAGACGTGGCCGGACAAATGTTTTGATGTATTTACAATTGATTGGTGTTGCTTTTCAGACATTGGTCCTCTGAATTCTGTCGATACACTTTAATGTATCCACTCCACCTTCACTGAGATTAACTTGTTCCAAGATTTATTAAACTGGATGACAGATTTCCTTATTCCGATATACCTTATGGCTGTGGACTAAATGATGGAAGTAATTACTTTAAGAGCTCCTATGACCAGAAGCAATTGATCACACGTAAATCCACATAGGTTTTTAGGCACATGAAATATACAAAACTAGCAAACTGCATACTAGCGAAACGCTATTAATAATCCTCAAGAAAATATTGAGTCTATTTCTCAAAGAAACATGTGGGCTTTCTCGAACCATCTAAGTCAGTGATAAGTCTCAAAAATTGCGGATTTCTAAAGAACAGAAAGTGTTTTTGCAAATAATTTTACTGTATTGGGCCTCTAATTTGAGAGTAACTTTAGGGTAATTCGTCTTGGAACGCTGGAATGCATCTATAGAGCCCCAGCATAAACCCAGACTATATACTAAGTGTAAGCAACTGTCTAGATAAAAAAAGGCCCGTAAAGATCTCCTATTCTTCGTCGCTGCAAAATTGACGAGGAGGTTCGACACTAAAATCTACTTAATCCTTCGACAATATACCTCCACCAGCATTTTGTTGCGAAATTCTCATGATTTCTTTGTGCGACCATTTTGGTGGCTCGATCGTGGTAGCATCTGAACTGTAAACCCTTGTTGTATACTGTCGAACACGCACGTATGATTGATCGCTGTCGGAAATAATTCCTGTCTGAATTGTCACAAGAAGCGACTAGATTTAATTTGTTTCTTATACAGCTTGATGACGATTGTCCCTATTCAGTCAACCGAGATTCGTTAGTTCCGTGTTACAGGTCTGAAGCCAGTTCGATGGCTTTTTTCATTGTCTTCTTTGAGAATCTGACGTCTTTTTTCGACTGACGCTGCTGCAGCACGATAGCTTTGAAGTGTGGATAGTGAGAAGGATAAGGAAACCGCAAATAAGGTATAAAACTGTTGAACTCAATTTATTGGTGATAGAAAAGTTTGGGGTGTGATTACTAAGACTCTTTGTTTTTTAGTTGGGTTGCAACGTCGGTGAATTCGAAGGAATCGACGAAAACGAGTTAATAGCACGGCGAGAAATGACAGGAGGAACATATAGTTCTAGGTATTCTAAAATAGCGGAAGCGGTTTAAGTCAATGTTAAAATATGATTCCCATTTGTGTTGGAATTACAGGAGAAGTAAAGAAATCTCATTTCGAGTCTAGGGGAAAGGTCGTTAGTCGCTTAAACTTGGCGATAGTGTCGTAGTTACAGATGGATAAGGACAGTCTGTTCCACGGTAAACTAAGTAATACTGTGAAGAACTGTTTTCCAGTGCTTTAGGATCAGTAATGCTTAGGAATTGTTGATGAATCATAAGTAGTTAGGAGATTAAGATTGAGAGGACATATATTATTTTGCAGAATAATCTAAGTCTTTTTGTTATACGTCAGCACCATAAAGGTATAAAGGAGAAGCAATTCTATTGAGCTGTGTAGGCGAGGAGGAGTAATTTTCTAACAGTCAAGTAGAATTTTTAGTCACAAATCTACGAGCACCTCTTACTTGAAATTTTCTTTCCAGTCGTCGCCGACCAATGCTTGTAATAATAATGTCACCTTTCGATTACCAGGTATGTTTTTTCACTTTTTCAATTTGCTTGCGGCACTGAAGTTTGATCTTGGACGGTGATACAAGGCAGTACTTTCCTCCACGTCTCGTCCATGTTCTTCCTAACTTCAGCCTCATCTGGAGGTCGACTTGTTTTTCCCACATATGGTAAATGTTGGTGGATTCTAGTCAATGTATACGGGGTATCCTGCTGTTGTTAAATGTTTGTATGTTTTTAGTAATCATCGATGCAGGTCCCCAGGATTCAGTTCCTTACAGAAAGACCTTTTTAACACTATTATCAAAACTATTGACCCTCTTCTTGAGTGCGAATTCCATTGAGTTAATCAAAACGAAAGCCAGTTGACTGAAATTGAAGTAAGAAGTCTATCGGATCTTACATTCTGCTCATAACACTTCTTACAAAGTATATGTCAATGAGAGCAGTGCCGCCTCATCCTAGTTGACGCGCTAGTTAATGTACTCATCTTTACGATTACATGATGCTTATGCTGTTTCCAACATCTTATTCGAGAAAATGCAGGAAATTTTGTTAGTTGCTTTCTTATCTCACTTCACTGTTTCATGTGGTATGCTGTTCGTTCCCACCGCTATACATTTTTTGAAATTCCGGATAGCTGAAGCTCGACGAGTGGCTTTTCCCTGACAACTTATCAACAAACTTCATAAAAATTGTTATGACAGACGTCCGAGATTCATATGCAACGTGCTAACGCCCCGGACTGACTAGTTGATCAAGAAGATAGAAGTGGGAGAGAAATTCTATAGGTTTACTAAATAAGGTGCACAGATACTCGTTTATGGGTATACATTTTAAGCAATTAGAAAATGAATCTACTTCAAAGCCAAAATTATGCAGTTTTTCTTCAGGCTATTTCTGATTGCTCTTAAATCGACTCCTTATTTGGCCACCACCTCAACAATCGTCTCACTTGAGTGATATATCTGACGAGAAAAAACTAATTATCAATAATTCTTAAATAACAGTTTGTTACATGAGGCATGCCAGTTTACAGGCAAGATCAAATTGATACAAATGATACAATATACACTGTAGTAAATTACATAGCTGGGTTGATAAATTATAAGATATGAATGTAGATGGTTTTAATCAGTTTTACAGTTGGCGCGTTTCATGAAAGTTGCGTTACGAATGTGCAACTGATGGTCAAGGATAGGTCCATTGAAGGTATGAGCTTCTAGAAATCGCAACCTTATGTCCCTTTGGAATATCCAAGGCTTTAAGGATGGTGCAGGATGAAGTCACTCGTTCCATATCTCAAGGGGGCTGAAAGAGGGAGCAAGTAAAAGAAAACACGAGAGGCAGAGTAGCCAATATTCATGAAGGAATATTTAAGGTGTGATTACTCAGTCTAATTTTCTTTTATTAAGGTATTTGTTAAGAAAGAGCATTTTAATAGGTTAAAGAAAATAAGTATTAACAAGGTGTGAGTGGACATACAACTGACAAATGGAGGCGATTCGGAAAGGAGCTGAGAGTATGGGATTATGTGTGATTATAAAATAAAATATAGTGCTAGAAACAGTATTGTGATATACAAATGGTTGTTTTCCTTTTATTATCGAAGCTATTAGAGCCGTTTTCATTTTTTTGTGTATTATTATTATTTTTTCTTTTTTAGGTATTATAAGGTCTTGAGTAGGCTTCGTATATTAGCGAATTGTCTAGTTTGCTTGTAATAGGATTTCTGGGTAGGAAGTGAAACCAATTCAACGTTCGTAACACGATTTAAAGAGGTATTTTGCGTGATAAATCAGCATCAATACCATAAGTTCGTGACATCCCACTAAACCATAAGGAGCCGTAATTAAACAAAATGTTCTGCCCTACAGACATGGGTGGATTGAAGTTATCTCCCCACCTTCATGTTTGCTGGTCAGTAACGCCACCCTCCCTCCTTTTGTGATGTTAGGCTCTCTTACGTTTGTGGTAAGTATGAATACTGCTTTAATCAAAGCCCATAGTTGGAATACACTGTCTCTACTAGGTCCATGTTACAAGCAAATCAGATAGTTGAAAAGTCTTTTATGGGTTAGATGTCCATATAGTATATCACACTGCTATGAAAATAACTAATGGTTTAAAGAAGTAAGGACTAATAGCAAATCAAAAGATATGAGAGGGTATAAAATTGTAGAAAAAAAAAGATTTCAGGGTAAGACAAATAAAACATTGAGAAACTCACAAGACTTTGTGGCCAAATTTTGAGCTTTGTATGATCGGCCTTAGTAGATCAGCATCCATAAGATTGAGCTATCTGTCTACTTGCAGTAGAAAAAAAAGCATGACTTTTAGGAAGAATAATGTACATTTAACCTGTAGAGATTTGGGGACTGAAAGCTAGGGTTAGGAGCATGAAGTCATGATTAATAAACAATGAATAATAGGAAAGGATAAGCCATATATTCTGTGATTTGGTTATATTCATATTAGTAACAGTCGAACTTGTTATAATTTTGTTCTTTCTAGATACTAGGCGGTCCGTAATAAAGTGCCTCATTGGTGGGCGGGAGTTCAAGGAAATGTTGAAGCTCTTTGGAGTCTAGAAATAGGGTTATTAGCTTTTTGAATCTGGTAAACGTATCACAGTTACGGATAGGCATTGGCAGCCTGTTCCACAATAAACTGTACCGTACTGTAAAAAACTTACAACGCATTTGTTTTTGGTGTTTTACGGTAAGTAGTGTATATGCGTTGTTTCTAAGTCTATAGGCTGGGTCGTGGGTGATAGTCGGGCAGGAGGTTAGAAAGGAGAGCCCATATATCGCTTTGTAGAGAAATATTAAATTGTTTTTTAGCCTACGGTGCCATAAAGGTTCTAAAGATAGATGCTTACATCTGTCTGTGTAATCGAGATTCGAGTTACATCCTAGTAGTTGACGTGTGAAACGTCTTTGAACATCTTCTACTCTTATCTTGTCTGCGATATTCATATTAGAGAAGACAAAAGAGCAGTATTCAAGGGAGGGTCGTACACATATTTTGTAGAGAGTAAGTTTACCCTCTGTTGTGAAAAAGTTTTTCATTATAAAACCAATTAGCCGTCTAGATTTAGAAATAATAGAGGAGGCATGTTCTTCAAAGTTTAGGCTTCCTGTGTAATTAATTCCTAAATCGTGTACTGATTCGAGTGTTTGGACTCTACATTCATTTAAGTGAAGTCGCGGTTTATAGGGATGCTTTCCAAAGTGCATGATCCCGCACTTGTTGAGGTTAAATGGTAATTGCCATTTTTCACTCCATATAGTTAAGTTATTGAGGTCCTTTTGGATCTGGGATACACTTTCGCTTAGTGTCTCAGGCTTATAGCTGTATACTATTTTGAGATCATCAGCATATAAGTATGGTTTCCCAAATTCTATGGTGTTACATATATCGTTTATATACATAAGAAACAAAAGTGGACCTAATACGCTTCCCTGGATGACTCCACTGGTGATTGGTCTAGGGGACGAGAGACAGTCATTGTACTTTACCATCTGTTTACGTTCTGTTAAGAACGAAGCAAACCATGAGTACAGTGGGTTGTGTATTCCGAAGGACTTTAGTTTGACGAGTAGCCTTTTGTGTGGGACCTTATCAAAGGCTTTCTTAAAGTCTAGGAATAGGACTGATACAAGGAGTCCGCTGTCTCGTTTCAGAGTTATATCATTCAGGTAGTCTACTAGGCATGTATCGCATGATCTGGACCTAAGAAATCCATGCTGGGAGGTCGAGATGAGATTATTAGTTAGTAGATGTTGGACTACAGCCGCCTTAACTACTTTTTCCATCACTCTGGATACCACTGAAGTTATGTTTATAGGCCGGTAATTTTCAACGTTTGCTTCAGGTCCTGTTTTAATTTTGGGAATGATATGTGTAGTTTTCCAGGCAGTAGGGTAACACGCTGAAGAGAGTGATATCGCGAATAGTTTGAGAAGCAAAACACACATATCATCACCTCCACGTTTTAGCATGCTAGATGGAATACCATCTGGTCCATCAGTGTAGGAGTGTTTCAATGTACTGATTGCCTTGGAGATATTTTGTACACTGAATTCTACATTAGTAATTTCACAGGGAGTTACTGGGATTGGTTCTGAATCATTAAATGGTTTTTCGTTAGTTAGTGAGAAACAAAAATGTTCACTAAATAATTCTGTGATAAGTTTGGGATCTTCGTATACTTGTTTGCCTTTAATGAATATACTCCCTCTCGATTTAGAGCGTTTAAGTTTATTTTGGAGTAGTATGGTGAGTGCAGAGGAGTTATTATTAAGTTCAACTGCACGTTTTTCCTGTGCTACTGCTTTTTGTTTACTTATTGCCTCTGTTCGGACAAGTATTTCTGTCATCGTTACTAAAGAGGAAAAGTCATTTAAGTTGTGGAATCGAGTACAATGTCTTTGAAGACGTCTTCTTGTACTGACCGGTATATAGAGATCTTTGGAGAACGTAGGTTTACAGTATTCTAAAGGTGCGATGTTGTTGATGATACTTTTGATGTTGTGATAAAATATATTGGTTAATGTGTCGGTATTGTTTGAGGTAAAGAAAGTTCTCCAATCAGTGCTTCTTAGGTAATTGTGGAAGTTATTCCAATCAACCTTGCGATAGTTTCTACGAAGTGTTACGGTTTTACTTCTATCGGTTGTGGTTTTTACATTAAGGCTGCATATGACAATGTTATGATCACTACCTGGGAACTTTTTTCCAATATACAAAGTATTGGGGATGAGGCCACTGGTAAAGACTAAGTCTAAGATGTTTTGATGTCTGGTAGGGCTATCGACATACTGAGTCCATTGTCCAAGCTCTAGACATTCAATAAATGATTCATAACGTCTCGGCGCTTTGACTGGCAGCCAAGAAATTTCGGGCATATTGAAGTCACCACAAATGAGCTTGCCTGTGAATGAGAGGGATGATGCTAGTGTGAATACCTCCGATAATACTGCTATTTCATCTATTGATGCGTTAGGTTGACGATAAACACAGCCGAGCAGTAAGGTAACGGAATTCGACGGCTTTAATACAATCCACACCGAATCCTTCAGTTTGTTTAGTTCAGGCATATCACATAGCAGTGAGTTTAGGCTAGAGTGAGCGTAAATAAGGCATCCTCCGCCTCGTCCATTCAATCTATCGCTTCTATATAGGGAATAGTTATCAAGAGATATACTTCGGTCGGAAATATTACTGTTAGTCCATGCTTCAGATATCATAATAACTGATGGTTGATATATGGATACAAACAGGGCTAAATCCGTCTTTTTGTTGCAGATCGATCGAGCGTTGATAAGACATATATTAAGCAGTGGCCTACTAAGTTAAAATGGGTGAGGGTATCTCGGATAAAGTCGTCGTAACCCTCGCGGTGTGAGATGAGTTTGATGTGAGGGATTGGATGTTCTTCATTAGCTCGGTATTTTGATAGCTAGACTTATTGGGAGATGTATCAAATGAGCTAGTGAAGTTGATTGGGGAGTTTACCCAGGAGGAAAGGGTGGGAGTACTCTGATGGAAACTGTACGGAGGAAACAAATTTATGGTTTGCATGTGGTTTGAAATAACCTGGGCTATATGCTTCAACAGAGGTGTCACTAGGGGTCTTATTCCAAAAAAATCTTGTACAGGCCTACTGTGAAGTGTATGGTTATTTACAAAATAGTCTTGATGGTTAGACTCGTAGCCCCTGTTATGGCTATTTACGTTAGCGTGAGAGGGGTCTGCTACGCGTAACTGGGAGGAGTTGCGACTGCTGTTATACATGGGAGCCGTTGTTATGTGATGGGTCGGTACTAAAGGGTATGAGAAGTTTTCTTTTGAGAGTAATTACAGTTGCGATCCTGGGGAATGTAGGTAGGGTGTGGAGTGAGAAACCTATTATTACCATTCTTATTTATGGTTTTAGGCTTCAGGGGGTGATTTGGGTGGCCAGTTCTCTGGTAGTTTTCGTTAGTCTGCGTGTAAGAAGGCTTGCTACGTTGAAGCCCACCACCCTTTTTGCAACTTGGAGGTGTTGAAGGCAAGTTATACGATAGCAGCGGGGAGAACCTGTTCACTGTTCTTGGGATACCTATAGAGCAGTTGGGTTCAATCTTACGTGTTTCCCTATTCGGTATCATGAGTTTTGTCTTCCCACCCTTTATTTTCAGAGCTGGAGTCTTTCGTTGTCTCTGTGAGATGAACTTACGTTCATTCAAGTCTACTTGTGGAATATCTTTAGGAGGACAAATTTTCAAGTGTATAGGTTTAGTTGGATGTGTGTTGTTACACGACTCACATTTTAGTACATTACTGAACGAACAGCTGGGATTAGTCATGTCGTTATGGTTTTTGGTGTCAGTTGGGGTCCGTATCTTATCCAAAGGTTTCTGATCTGTAGACTCATCTAGATCAACAGAGTGATCAGCCGTATGTGGAGTGGTGTCATGCTTATTGTTCGTGTGTTTTAAACTATTTGCTGTGTTGCAAACTGTCTCTGGCTGATTATTAACTGTAACACTCCCATTCAATTCTATCGCTTCGCGTCTTCTTACACGACGTTGACAGGGCGTAAGGTCTGGAGTGACTTTTATATTCTTGTATGGAATTAGTGAGCTAATATTTTTGCTCAAATCAATAAACTGCTTAGCATCGTTACAACAGCCAAACATAAACAAAAGGGGGCAAGTCGATCTGTCTGACTTTTTTCTAAGGCGGATGACTTTGCAGTTAACGTTCGGCATACCGCATGCTCTAAGGCAAATATCCCTTAACTTAGATGGGTGTGTGCGGTCGGGGAGGTTATACACAACTGCATTGAAGGAGGACATCACTCTCTTCGTCACTTCTTCAGCCACAAACTCCAAAATACACTCAGCTTTAGTGAGTTGCTCAAGATTTCTGTCTGTATCAAGGCCCCATATATGAGTGAGGGGTGCTAATTGCTCAAGTTTGCCGTTAATTTCGGATAGAGAGTTTTGTAGCTGTCGGATGTCATTACTATATCTATCAGTATTTTGGTGTGTATGAGGTGGACCATTGGACTCTTTAGTTTTTGAAATTTTATATTCAGGCCTTGGTAGCACATACTGTCTGGTAGACTGTGCTGACTTTTCGATGCACGTAGGTATAGTGTCTTGTATGTCAACCAGTCTTACCGTTGGCATACTGCACGTAGAGATAGAGGGGTTGTAACATGGAGAAACTGGTGATGATAGTGTCATTTGTGTACAATACGCATATTGTTTAGTAGTTAAAGGTTCGACATTGTCAGATAATAAGTCGTCAGTAATAAGGGTTACACATTTGGACCTTTTATTTAGCTTAGAAGTTGGTGAAATTTCTCTTTTACTGGAGTTATTGGCCATGATTTGAAACTGGGTGAGCACAGAGCTCATTAAATATAATATCTGAGTATTAGTTGTTATCAAGTATTAACCTGGTTAATACTAGGATTAGAGACTGTGAGTATATAATGAATTGCAGATCTATTTACCACTTAAGTCCGCAATAGGTACAATACGAACTGGTGATTGTCCGTCGAATAAAAATAGGTTTTTTCCTTATTTTTCGGGGTAAGATGTACCTGATGTACAGGATAGGATGATAATCACAGTATAATACACCCTACAAAAGAGCAAGTCGAAGAATTCCTAAACACGTTAAAAAATGTTACCACTTTCAACGTTCGCGGGACAAGTTTTATGTGTGATATAACTGGAGTGGTATTTATGGGTCTGTAGTTTTCGACCAGGTTTCTCGGTCCGGATTTGTGTTTGGGAAGAACATACGTTACCTTCCAGGATTCCGGATATGTACCTGTCTCTAAAGATAATGTGTACATTTTAAGTTATAGCGTATGTATGTCCGGTCCTGGCATTTTATAAACGATTGAAGGGATGTCATCGGCACCAGAACTCGCATTTGGCCTAAGGGTTTTAATGGCGGTATGTATACTCCTAATGTCGAAGTTTATGGTACTAAGATAGCTTTTGCCGGTGCACTTTATGTCGATGTCTGGAGCATCAGATGTATTCCCATTGTGAGAAAACCATTCACTTAATAGTTCACATATGACGGTTTGGTCATTATACGTTACTCCATCGTGCAGTAAGGAGTGAATGTTATGGTCTGTGTTCTTTCTTATGCGTTTCGTGAGGAGACGACATAGGGCTTGGGCTTTAGATGCAGCAGCGAGCGCAGTACGTCCCTCTGTCTGTTTATTTTTGTTGTGTTGACTTTGTACTACTTCAAGTACAGAGTATATCTGATGCAGGGCATCGAAGTCTTTTGATATATAGTACGTCCTTTTCAGTTTTCGTTGTTTAGACCTAGTCTTTTGGTTTATATAGGGAGTGATTGTTTTAAAAGCAGTTTTAGAGGGATACTAATGTCTAGTGCAGATTTGGTGGTGGTATTGAATATTGCTAATGTTTCTAAGAGGTTATCAATGGTGAAGAAACTTCTACAGTCAGAGTGCTTTATTAGAAATCGAAAGTTTTCCCAGTCAGCGTCTGCATGGTATCTATATTGGAGACGCGTACTTAATGTGTTTAATTTGTTGCACATGGACCGACGCTCTTCCATTCGTCTTACCAGGTATTCGAAATGCAGTGAAAGCTGACATTGGATACACTGTGGCCCAACTCGTTTTTAGAACAACACTTCAGCTTCCAGGAGAATTCGTGGATCTTCTTTAATGAACATGGAACTAACCTCCTACACGAACAGGCTTACAAACGACGAACTGGAAATTTCATTGTACTTTTTTATTGCTATATTGTACTACATGGCCCATTATAGTAAGGAAAGACGATCAGACGCTGCTAAACCTAGCAAGCTGCCTGAGGAGTGCTTACTAACGACAAGTTCGTTGGATTTAAACTTCTGGCTTGCCACGTCTTAGGGCGATCACTACCCCACTAAGAGGGACGGATCTGTAGCGGCAAATAAATCCTCGAACCAATAGCTCTGTAGGTCTTCGATATTGGATGCTGACCACATTAATTTTAATGGGCTCATCTAGCTTAAGGCGCTCGGTCATTCATCCGCACCAGATCACGAGTGGGAACGCCGCGCTCAACATCCCTTGCAATCGCTATCCAGATTAAATCAACCGATCCATGATATATTGATAGCCTATCAAATATATGTTTGAACCTCCTTGCTTCCGTCTTTTGATTTCACTTGGTGGGTACGATTCATATTAGGTGTTAAACTTCGAATACATGTGGCATTTTCAACTGTATCGAACTAATGCTCAAACTAGAATGAACATCAGAACTTATCACTACTTAAAAATGGTTGAAATTTTACAAATAACCTTGTAATCATTTTGGTTTCATATGATTTAATAACAATTGTAATGGAATCACTTTTCTAACTGATCCTGCTAGATTTCTTAGACAACTGTAAGTTTTCTGTCGTTCCTAAGCGTGTAATAATTTTCGGACGAATAGTTGATGATGGAAGTATTTGGTTTAGTCTTCCAACTACAGAGATATATATGATAAACGTAGGCAGCAGTAATAATTGATGTATGCGAAGAAATATTCCACAGATATATTGTATGTAATATCATAGTCACGAAAACACCAGCATTCAAGTAAGTAATAAGACCGTTTACACTTTTACCATCGAATTGTAACTAGAATCACAGGCACAGTAATACGAAAGTCAAATATCAATGAATACAAACATTACATATTTTCATAAAGACAGATGCTTAAAATAACACTTGGTTTCATTACACCAGTGCATGCCAACCTAACATGTGCTCAGGAGTTTAAACACTTGCTGGGCTACAAAAACGTAAACTTAAGTGTTCCTCCAATTTAGGTGACAGAAGATGGAAAACAGACAAAAGTCGTATCATACTTATAAACGTTTTGTTGTCGTAACAGTATTTGTGCAATTTTCAGGTATGATTCCATTCAAATAATGATGGTTGATGAACTTGCAAGATTTAATTAAATAATGACGACTGCAATTGAACGCAACGAATGTCTCAGTGTGCTAAAATGCCGCAGTTAGTGTGATTTTCTATATGTTGGTGCGAAGTTTATTTCGAATCAGCGATGTTTTCTGGGTTTTTGCTGCTTCTACTCAAGTCAATGTATTTCTTCAGGCAATCTGGCTAGACTTGTGTTAAAAAATGTCGGCCGGTTTTCTTCGTTCTGTGTTTTTTCCGCTATTTCTTTTGTGTAGCTACAGAATTTAATGTTTCAGTGTGCTAAAATCCAGAAGTTAGTGTAATACTCTAAATGTTGGAGCAAAAGTTTTCCTGATTTTGCTTTGTTTTCTGGGTTTTACCTGCTGCTTCTGAAGTCACTGTATTTATTCGGCCAAGCTGGCTAGTACTAACATAAGACCTTACGTTTTTAAACGACAATCGGTTATGTTTTACCCTGTTTTCTAGATATCCAAAGCCGAAGTTCGTTTTTATTTAGCTAAAATAATTGTTGCTGCCGCCTGTGGCTCTAACTGTTTGCATGTTCGTTCCTAACTGTCCTTTATGATGTTATCGGCAAAATGGAAGGAAACAACATGCGTTTTTTTAATTTTCTTCAGTATTATGGACGACACTATCCCACCAACGAGTCAAACTAATACAGAGTGCCCAGCAGTAGGGTATATCGGTATTGATTTCGAAAGGACCCAGACTTCCGACAACTATAGATGAAGTCACAGATGCTACCAATCTATTGCAGAGGGTTTGTTATGAAAAATATACCATATAGCAGTAATAGAGGGGTTGTACTCATTACATCGTGCGTTAAAGCAAGCTTAGCATTGAAAAGCCGGAAGGGTTATGATCAGGGAGTCAGAAGGTAATTAGCTGTTATTAAGCTCACTTTTTCATAGATCATATCTCACGACTCGCAAATTTGTGTTTTTTTACGGTATGATGTCAACCGTTACCTAATATGTTCACCCTTACGATGAAGGATACCTGCAAATTTTCACCTTCATATTCGAATTATTTTGGACAACTGTCTTCCAGTTTGGGTGCTTCGTACGCCCTGGGAGACTAGATTCATACATTAATCGTAGTTCCAGTATAACTTTCTCACACAGTAAGTTCAAATTAGACACTAGTCTTTCTAAATAAACCTGTTAAGCTAATAACCGTATTCTCTATTTCAGTTAATCGGTGAAGACATGTACCATGTGCATCTGCTGTATACTGCATTTTACTCCAATTCTAACTGTTATATCTTCTGAAAAATAAATTGCTATATGCAGCAAATACAGACTTATTTGTTTTGATGGGGATAGGGGGATTCGTGGGATTTTTAGCGGGACCGTAGTAATATTCTCACTAAAGAGCTAAGCGAGTGCGTAAACCAGTGTAAGGTACTATACGGGGCGCATTTGAGTCACTGGTGTTCCATTAGTGCAGGTAGGGGCATTGCTTGCTTGTCATATGGCGTTTGAATTAGAAGCTATAAGATAAGACGCAGGCACGGTTAGGATGTGTAACGCGTGTCCATCCATCAGCTGCCGTGACAACCCATGCTGGTTAGAATAAGCTATGAGAGGACACGAGTCTGTAGGTCACCCAAGAAAATGACGATGTGCACCAAATCACCTTATGAAGAGCGCCTCAAATCAATTAACCTCTACTCATTGGAGTATAGACGTCTTAGAGGTGACCTAATGGCTTACAATAACCTTAACACATCCGGACATCCCCTAAAACACCTACTTAAGCTTAGTCCCAGAAACTAGAGACACAACATAGCAGAACGGACTGTAGACTCAACTTCTACTCCTTAGGAGTTGTCAAATGCTTGAATCCGCTGCCCGCCAAGCTAGTCCAAGCGACTTCTCAGGAGCCCTTCGAGAGGCAAGTGGATCTATTCTTAAGGATTAAGGACAGTATCGTACTATGATTTAGCAATTTCTCTTTCCTCTTTTATTGTTAACATACCTAGGTTCCTGTCTAGAGGTCCAGCATCGTCTTTATAATCTGCTGTTCGTTGGGTCTCCCGTAAACAGTTCCATAGGGCCATAGTTCCAAGGGCGAAACAGTTTCTTAGGGTCTGTGAAGGCTCACTCCTGTTGCATTCTAAATGAAAAAAATAGTGATGAATTTAGTCAGAAATGTGGAATAGATAAATAATCAAATTACATGTTTTTTAGTAAAGAATTTATGCACTGACATTCTATCTGAAAACAATCAACTATGTGAATAAACTCGCTATGATTTGAGATATCATCCCAGCGTGCAATGGACGTACAGTGTAACGCAGTCGGACGTGGCGAATAGAAATTAAAAACAGAGCAAAATTAAGTACATAATCTATTTATTTAATTAAAAATACATTATGAAATGACAAAATCTGTGGTTAGTTGAACTCACAGATGACCCTGTGTCATACATTAAGTTTAGATGGTTGCGTTGAGGATAAGTTCACCCAATAATGACAATACCAAAAGTTCAAACTTGTGATGCTGACGTTTTATTTGATATTGTAAGACATTAAAATAATAAATAAGAACTTCTCTCTAAATTTGAACGAATAGTTTCACAATATTTGGGCGCCGAGTTAATGTTGGTCATTAAAAAGGAAGAATGTATTTGTAAAATCTTAGCGAAAGAATTTGAAGTAAATCCAATGTTTCGAATGGCAATCTGATCCAAGCTTTTTCAAGGAAAATATAATCAAAAAACAAAATTATCGGGTATAAATAGGTACATGGTTTTCTGGTTTACTGTATACTGGATGACTTATTCAGCTTGGACCAAATTGCCAGGCGAAACATCGGATTTACTTCAAATTCTTTCTCTGAGAATTTACAAATACATTCTTCCTCTTTAATGACATTAAAATAATAGTCTATGTAGTAAATGTAATAATACATTTCGCAATAAGTTTCCAAAGTCAAACGTAGAACGATAAATCAAAGGCTAGATAGAAAACGTGAGTTTAAGGCCGAAATTACAAACAACTTGAGTCAGACGCTCTATTAGGACATATGTATCAAAAACCAGTAAAAAAGATGTTCAAGAAAACATTTCAGAATTGGTTCAGTATTTCTCGTTTGATCTGTAACAGACAGTTCTCAAGGCTCCGTAAATGAAGTCAAACTGGTCAGATTAATATGATCAACAGCCTCACAATGAATATTTATTCACACGGGCTCGCTAAATTATTATTATTATACAAGAGGAGGTAGGGCGATTTTTATTATGTTTTATAACTCTGAAGACCGTAACAGCTGACAGCTTCGCTGAAGTGAACGTAATAAACCTTCGAAGCTTGGTAAAATATCCAAACTCAGTGGAACTGGACATTCCAATAGCTTATCAGATAAGCCATAAATTGCATAGTAGTCATTTCCTCCTTACGCATTACTTATTGCAGAAATGGACAGTATATCCAGCGTATTTTTGCGGTTGGTGTGTTCACGATTGGGTTAGAGGATAAAATGGTAGATGAGTGGCCCCTTGAACCTTTACAAATTGGACTAAACGTTAGTGGATACCGGTTAGATGTTTGTTCAACGACAGCAGGAAATTAAATCAACTTTTACACAATAATGTTCATTCATCTATATAAGGTAATTACAAAGTTTCCACAGAAAAACACCAATGGAAAATCATATTACCGATTCCGTTTTGTATTTTTAATGAAACCCTTTTAAGAGCACGAACTAAACAAACAAACAACCACGGGTAACACAAAGTTACTTGTATCGAAGTATAGAACATTGTTGTGAGCGAATTTACATTACGTTGACATCACAACGTCAAAATCACCATTTTCGTTTCTGTATTTCAAGCGCTCTATGTGAAAGACCACCTGATGACCAGCTGACTAGATGACGCTAGCTGTTGTAAACGGCTTTATAAAACTAATTATTCCTTCTAAAACCTAAAGTGAAATCCATACGGACCATGGAACTCATCTGTTCGTTACCAGTGATTTGTGCGTAATAAAAATAATTTAGTGATAATTTTTAGTCACAACAAGAGAAAATGCGGCTGATCATCAGAAAATCTCTCTTGAGAAAGACATCAGATTATTGGAACCTGAATAAGCACGATAACTGATTCACGTTTTTCGACACGACTATTAGTTATCGTGAGATGTTCATGAAGAGTTCGTTTCTCCGCCAGTTCAGGAAAGAAGAAACTTCATTGCATCCGGTTGGATTCTCAGAGCCGTCTCAAATCGACACTAAAAAGCCGTCCTCCTTGATTTGGAAAGGGCTGGAAGATGGAAACGCAAGTTCAACCTGTGATTTAGATGACGATGACTATTTTGAGAGTGATCAGTTTATCTCTTCTAATGAGGCCAACTTGTCTACATCTTCAAAAACCAACTGGAGTGATAATAAATGGAGCAAAATGCTTAAATTTGGTGATGAATCCAAGAAAAGAGATACAGTTCAGTTTACTCCAGAATCACCTAAGATAATCAATTTGCGAAATGCGTCGCAGAAACCACACGTTAACAAGCCTATCATTTCTTTAGATAGTTTCGATCACGCTAGACCCCATTCTCCACTAGATGGCATGGCAGTTCCGAAAAAAGCTCCAGAATCGCCAATGTTGAATTTTCTCAGCAAAAAACCTAGTGCCACTTTTATGCAATCACCAGACGCACATAATGTCTCAACCAGCTCTGAGGATTCTATTTACTTCCATCAAGCCTCCAAAATATGTCAAGATTATGCGGGAGAGGTGAAGACCCACCTTGACAAAGTTCATGATAAAGCAGTCACTGAGTTTTCAGTTGAAGATAAATCAGACACATTATGCGACAAGTAAAATGTACCATGTATTTCATAGTTTAGTCTCAAATTTCTGTACAAGCGCTTAAGACAAGAGGCGGAAAATCTTGAGACATGGAAGTGTTGTACCATATCAAAATTAGAGGAAAAAGTATGAACAATAAAAATATATTTTCTCCAAATAGTGTCTAGATTTGCAGTCCTATGAATCACTTGTTGAAAACTTGCGAAAGGCAAACCTTGAGCTACAAGTACTGATAGAAATCAAATGAATATTTCATTTAGATGAATATGGAAACCGTTAGTTTAAAATATAAAGATGAGCTAGCTGTAAGAGAAAAATTGGCTGAACAGTAAAATGACTTTTATTCCCAAAATACATGCGATTTAGGTTTTCAGCCATCAAGCAGCAGTGCACAACATTGGAGCTCAAAACCGAAAAATTAATAGAGGCAAATCTAACAAGTGAATTCATAATAAAAATGTAATTTTCAACAGTTAAGAGCAAGTTTTGTCAGTCGGAAATCGTACATAGTTCTCTCCTGTCTATATTTAAGACGATAAAAGACAACTTCATCGAGCAGTCGAACAAATGTTTAGATAAATTTAAAGAATCAGAAAAATTAGGTAACTTCCTTGGCAGTTTCGAAAAATGAAACAGTTGCAGGTAAGATATTGGATCTGGAAACACTACAAAAATCGAATATTGCAATGGACGAAAAAAACGAAATATTGGTAGGATTATTATTTATAAAAACCTAATTTTTACAGAAAGATGAGCTTCTTCATTGGCAACAAAAGCATCACAACGATATAGTTCAGCTACAAACTGAGATTGATCAGCTTAGCACTGAAAATAGTTTGTCACCTCTGTTCTAAAGTAACTGATTAGTTGAGCTTAAGGAGTTGGAGAAAACCTTAATGTGCACCAACGAGAAAAATTTGTCGCTGATTAGACTCCTGGAAGATGCTATAGCAGAGGAAAAAGTATGATAAAAAGTAACCAAACACTTTTTCCAGATAAATAGAGAAAACGCCGAATATATGCTGAAAAATAACAGTAAAGAAACTGATGAGCTCAGAGATTTAGTTGAAAAGATTAGAGACAAGAATGTATACGTATTAGAAATGTTAAATACTCTTGACAAAAAGTTCATCCATCTTGAAAACCAGACAACAACGTTACGAAGCCACTTTAAATGTTTTACTAACAGAATAGAAAACATAATAGCTAATTTAACTTCATTTCAGATTCGACAAAGAAACGGCAGAGAAGAAATAGTCATTAATCTAAAAGATGAACAGCAAAACATCAGAAAGTTAGTCCAGAAAATGAACGAAAGGTAAAACACAGTATTTACATTTCACACTTTTAGATCGATTGTTATCCACAAGTTCGAATCAAGCCTGTATCACACATGCGGTAAAACTGATTTTAAAACATAACGTTTTTTGAAGTTGATTTAGTAATGGAAAGTGAAATCTCGAAGATCGACAGAGAAAACCTAGTTAGTAAATAAGATAGTTTATACATGAAAAAAATAACCTTAGGTAAACCTAAACAGGAAGGTCTTTGAGTTGGAGAAAGAAATAGAATTTTACCATATAAGTGAAAATGCTCTGAGAGATGCACTGAAAAAATGTCAGATCCAAAATGAAAAATTGCAAGTAACTTATATTAAAATATCGTTTATATTTTGAAAGATTAACAACGGCTCTTTACACACGCAGCTAAATTGTGAAAGCCGAAATTGTGCAAAAGCTAATGAGAATTGTTTAAAAGCTGAAGCTTTGGTCAAGCATTTAGAAGTAGGATATGATTCTAACGAAATTACCACCAACTAGGAAAAAGCGTGTTCAAATCAAAACGAAATAAAGATTTAACAGAAAGAGCAAGAGCGATCGAAAAGGAACTGAAGGAAGAAAAGTATTAACTAAAAATGAATTTTAAATACCATTTTAGACTAAGCTGTTCTAAGGTCAAAGAAACGCTTGAATTTTACGAAAAAAAGTTCCACGAACTCAAAATGAGCAATGAAAAGAATCAACAAGCTCTTGATCAGGCGCGTATTCAAATAAAGGTGAAGATAAATATGATTTACTGTTTGTAATATCTATCTGAAATCTTTATAAAATTTATTAACAGTCCAGAAGTGTCTATAAACCTTATACATAAAACTTCTTACCGGTGACTAATTTCATTTTGCGATTAGACGTGTTTATGTATTAGAAAGTGTAAACTTAATGAGCACTAAATTTAAGTCACTGTATCAACAAAATTCCACGGTGTTTTCGTAAAGTTTAGGTTTTATCTGTAAAAGGCTGTTAAATTTAAACTGATAAAATGTTTCTGTTAGGCAAATGATACTGTTTTGTCAAAACAGATAACATAACAAATCTATATAACAGTTTACTTTTGCGTTCTTTAAGAACAACCACGTTTAGAAAAATGCAGATAACTTAGTTGAGTATTTCGCCTTACATGTTGTAGATAATTACCACCAATAAGTATTCAGAAAACAATCATATAAATCTCATTTCTAGAAGCTATTTCTTGCAGCTATTTACCTTCAGATCAATTGTGAAATAAAATAAGGTTCAAGTATCATTATTCATCCCGAAGCCATGTAGTTTTACTGATATTTTAAGTATAATAAAGTATAATTTCTATTGGGGTGTAAATCCACTAACAAGGGTTAGTTTTAATTCACAAATGTAATTAAAAGTAAAGATTAGCTTCAATTACAGACTTAGGTTAAGTCTGAACGTCAAAAGAAAGCTGGGAGAATAAAGTCTATCAAAGTACAAACGCAAATTCCAAAGAAACCTAGCTACACAGTCAATTCTAGTATGTTGTTGGTACATTTTAATCCTAAGTTTTATTATGAGTTTATCGTAAAAACACAAATTTGTTAGCGCAGATCAGTTTGTGAGGCGTGTACTAAATTCATAAAATTACTTAATAACTGAGTTGTAACAAACGGAATAGGGACTTCCGGTTAAGATAATCCGAACCACAGAATGTATCTTAATATCTATCAGTTGTTTTTGAGTTGAGGGGATAACAACGATGGACTGATTATTCCGATTGAAGTACTAAAAATAATGGAACAGATAGTGGTGATTTTGCGTGGAAAAACAAACCATTTTTTCGGGCCTTCAACACAGCCAAAAATTAGCCAACAATTAAAGTTTCTACCACTTACAGATTGCGCAAACGGATTTGGGTGAAAATTATATGGTACTTATATACTTTATTGAGTCGTTTTTCATTAATTTTAACAATTTTTGAGTAGCTCAGCTTTTAAAAGATACAATATCGACTTTTATCCCAAGAAACTTCAAAGCAAAACCAATGTCAATAAAATACAATTGTCAGTTGGTTGTCTAATGTATATATACGAACTGGTACTCAGAGATAATATCCGGGTCTGAGGACAGCCTAATCAGCTCATACCACCTAATATTTCAGTTATTAAGACCCTGTGAACGTAATCGATAGGGGTGAATATCACATTCTTTCCAACCTACTTGAATGGACTAGTGAAATGCTTATAAGACCGCTCAGTTCAAAATTAAACTGTTAGTTTCTCAGTTGTAATCAGCATAGAACCGGATTTGAAAATGCCACAGCCCATTTTTCTCAACTCACGCCGACACAAAAAGTTAATTAAACTGACTAAAAAATAAAAACAATGTCAAGTGTAATGGACAGCTAAGCGCGGAAAATGCAACTCGTAGAGGATACAGACATAAAGAGATCTTAATTATGGAACAATACCTAACTCAAGATTCGGAAGAAAGTGATAAATTAATGTATCGGTAATCGACATCACTCGGGCCAATAAGCATCTGTAGCAGGCTTCTTGTTCATGATGATCGACTGAAGTCACTATACGTTTTCAGTCGCTCATTATGAATAGAGAACAGTTCATAACCAGAAAGACTTGACTGCCCTACCAGCCTCAGGCTTATAAGTTATGGCTCGATAGATTGGTAGTTTGTTTTTTCAATGTTCTTTTCCGGCCATTTTTAACTCCATTTTAACCGTTTCATGACAGCACGATAAGGGAGATGGTGGTCGAGCACACTTAACACATGTCTTAATTACTTTATCAGGAGCAGCTTTATATCCTTATAGGCAGACTGTAATCGCTAATAATAAATGCGTGTTTTAAGTTTAACTTTTTTGCCAGACGTCTCTCTTTTTTCCAGCAAATGCATCAACCGAAATTTGAATGTTTCCTTTGAACTTTATCACAAGTGGATGAGGAATTCTAAGCTCGAATTTAACTTTTTAATGTATATTATGCCGCAAGAAAAGCTAAAAATGCACATTACTCTCACTAGTCTGCTGTTTTGATTTCAAGAGGAATCGGAATGAATCAAGTATACGAAGTAAAACTGGTCAGTAACTCGTTTGAAGAATCCTGTTAGTTTTCGTCGACAAACGAGTAATTTATAAAAGACAACTTTAATAGACTTAGCGACAACACTGAAATCTAAGAGCATAAAATTATGGACGATATTTGGTTCGCAAATAAATTAGATACTCATTTTGTGTTTCAGAGACATCGCAAAACCGTATAAATCTGTAACACAGTAATTTTTCAAAGATTACATCTACTCAGCACTCACTTGGTCAGTTCGGCGAAATGGTTATAAATAAGTTCAAAATTATGCATACAATTCACAGAGTTCATCATTTTAGTTGTGTTGGTCTATACGATAAGTAGAATCTTAGGAATGATAGCAACAGGGACATAGGAAAGCTACTTAAGGTCGTTTTAAATATACAATGAAGACTAGTAAGTATTTTATGCCGGGAAACATTTATACTACATTTAGTTTCCGTATACACTTAGGAAAAAGAAGAGTACCATGAAGAACTGAAACGGCAGTTGGTTAATCTTAATCAAGAAAAGGAGAAAAGTATTTTGAAGCAAATCCAGCTTACTAATAATATAAATGATGTGACGATACAATTAGAATACTCACGACAAGAAATTGGACAGCAAAAGTTAAGGGAAAAGCATATTCAAGAACAAAATCAAAGACTGGAAAATCACAAAATCGAGCTACAGAAGCAAAATGAAAGTATTACAGATGAACTGTTGTCTTTGAAAGAAAGATTGAACCAGCAAGCTGATGAAATAAAACAGAAGCAAGATGAAGTTGAAAGTTTAAAAGAGATAATTGATCTTAAAAATACTGAGAACTCAAAAGCAGCAAGAAGGTGGTAAGTCCTAATTAAATATAAATATAAAAATCAAGGATAAAAAGCTAAATGAATCCATGAATCTTATAGAAAAGCTTAGAGAACAGACCAAAGAACTGAATCAGGAAAAGGTATTTTATTTTATATTAAAGCTGTAGTTGTTTAATGTGTATTATGGGCTGATTATAAGACATGTTTTATCATAAAACAATTCAAAACACCAACATACAATTGATAAACGATTATATTATTCACTTTAGATCAAGATTAATCAAATATCGATGACCAGGAGTAGAGCTAAGGAAAACATAATTTTTGATGATTTTCAAGTTCGTTCAGTGTTACAAAACGAACGCTGCAGTTTATGCAAGAAAGAAATGCATTACGATGTTTCTTAATACAATGCTGTTTTAGTGTAGAATGTTGAGCTGCCCTGTAGGTGCATAGAGTACAGGAAAATGGTTTTTCTCCCGTATGCTTCCGGAAATGAGTTTTTAAATGACTTTTCTCGACAGTTTGGTAAGAACAGACTGAGCATTTAAATGGTTTGTTTTTAGTATGAGTCGACATTATATGTTTTTGTAAGTGTACTTTTTGTGAGAACTCTCTTTTGCAGTATTCACAGATAAAATTTGATCGCGACTTCCGTTCACCACAAACAAGGGGTGTTTGTGTACAGTAAGTTACTTCATTACACAGCGATGTTGTATCTGGGTTTGAAGTATTCGAGACCTTCAAAGAATTATCTCTGAATTCAGATTCTGCTTCACCATCAGAATCACGAGAAAACAAAATTGGACATGAAGACATTTGAGTACAAGGAGAACTTCCATCCACAAGACAGCATGTTTTGCGAACAACCGAAGGAATAGAGCTGCTAGGACCCACTGAACTGTAGTTTGTTGAGCAAGAACTTAATACTGATGGCACTTGACTCACCGACTGACAGGGTGCCAACTTCCCATCGTTTGAATTAATCGAGTTATGGCTACTTTTGTCTTCAGTGACGATAAAGGATGAACTTGTTGTGTCTGAGACTGACATTACTTCCTGTAGGAATCCATTACTGTCGTTAGCCATGCTTGACGATCTATGTTTCATTATGGATATTCTATGTGCACATTCAACATGCGCAATAAGATCTAATGGTGAGATATAACATTCATCACAGTGAGAACATTCCAAAAATAGCGGATTGCCAAAACTTAGTCTGGAACAACCATCTGATTTATGTTGTATAAATTGAGTAATTGCGCATAAACGAAAAATTCTAGCACACGTACCACAGAATAAGGAGTCAAACATAGTCTCGACTGAAATGAGTATGTGTTTAGAAATAACGAGACGGTTTATTTTCAATAATCTTTTCTAATCAATCACACTGTATTTACACTTTAAACCATAAAAAACACACTGAATGTTAAATAATTCCATTGATTTTGGTTGTATGTGCACAATACTAGACGAAAAGTTTCCAATAGAAAACAAAGTAATAATGCACACTAAAAAACAAGGTCATACGAAAATGACCTGCAAGTATTGATATTATTACCAAAAGTTTTCATTTGACGATTTCTAATTCAAACTAATAGTAATGATAAATTTACGCAGCACCTCAACTCTACATGCTACAAATAGTTCGTCACAAAATAAAATGCTAATATTAGTATATTGGGTAAACATTTAGTGTTATCACTCACAAAATTAGAATATCGATTCTGGTAGGCAAGAGTACTTCACTCTACCCAATCAAACAATATACATTCGTAGATTAGTGCCTGGTTGTAACTTTGAATTATAGATTACATTTCCCATACAAAGTAACTCAAATTTTCAATAAGAATGTTCAGAACCCTTTTCATTCTATCGATAGTAGGAAACGATTTGTTCTATTAAAAGGCCCACAAATTTAAACGTATATAGTTGAGTGAAATATCTCTCGAAAAGAATCTTCAAGAAAACTGATATACTTAATCGATATTTATAAGCTATCTTATGAATGTACGTATCAGTACAATCTTTAGTGATAGGTTGTTGAATATGAGCAATAAACCTACAAGTTTAACCGTTCGTTTCAATTAAAGAAAATCTGTCATCCAGAATCTTAAGGAGTCCAAGTATGACTGATGTACCAGGTTACAATTTCGTAAGTACGAGCTAGGGGTGGGATAAATAAATATTCCAGATCCCTATAAGAAATATTAATCATATATATTGTTAAATTTATTTTGAAAAATATTTTTAGCATTTATTAAAGGGAGGAAACCAGAAAAATGGAACCAGTCTGGTACTAACACAATAACTATAGAGTTCATTATTAATAGTTGACAACACTAGCATGCTACTTCTGCTTGCTAAGTTTGACTGCTCAACTAAATGAGAACTAGAAATACGATAGATGGATCTATCAATCAACACACAACAAAATAATAATAATAAATGATTTCCTATAAGACAGTCAATAGCAAAAAGGAACTTTATATTAAACTTACGCAAAATAATAAAAGAATACTTATAATATCAGGAACTTGCGTGAGATTATCGATTTTGACGAACTATCTACTTTTCACCCAAACACATGATAGTAGGTTTTACTGTGTAATATTAACATACTAGACTAAGCGGATAGCTAGAGTAGTTTTAACTTTTCACTATAGTAAAAACGATTCTTGAAATTAAATCTCGTTAATGAGATAAATGTTGAGTGTATAATAAAAATCATTGATCTGACAGAATTTGTTGGTTTTACCAGTATTAATGGACACACTAACATACGAATTAAAAGAGCAGAAGTTTAGTACGTACGCATAGAAATTCATCGTAAGAAATGGTTTGAAAATTAAGTCCGTCAAAGTCTCGTGGATTACGTGCTCTCAACAAACTATGGATATAAATATCCATCAGAAACGAACAACTGTGCAGTAAAAACATGTTCACAGTAAATCAGTCTTCCCGTTAAGCAATATATTTCTTTGATTAAAACACTTTTATATACTGTAGAAGGAAGTTCTAAAGAAGCTCATGAAAAAAGAGCAAGAACTTAAGAAGCTGGAAGTAAAAGCAATAAATCAAGTATGCGACGTATTACCTAAATTAATACTGACATTCAGGAGAGAGAATTGAGGGAGGCAAATGATGAAAACAAAGGCTTTATGAGGAACTAAGGAGAATGAAACAGGATCAAATTGAACGAGAAAAGATCTTAGCAGAGAATAATAGGGAACTATTGAAACTTCGATGTGTAGAAAAGGAATATCAGGAATTTCAACATCAAATTTATGCAAACTCTCCACCTGCTAGTACTCAGCTCCCGAAGGAAATTCACGAAAAGGTGACTCAGACTCCCAAATCACCAGCGTTATCTTTGAAACTAGATAATTTGGTAAGGAAAACTTTTGTTCACGTTAAAACTTCGCCTTAGAATATGGCCGAAACGCCTACTAAAACCCCAAAGAGTATATTGAAACAACCAGGTTCAGCTACCAAGCGTAGGAGAGTGTTTTTCGCTTCCCCTGATTATGGAAGCCTGATGAACAACCAGAAAGAGCCAAGCTATCAGAATCAAGAATGTGAGTTTCCATTGCTTAAGAAATTGAGCCCATTTACAATGAATACACCTACAATTCAAAACCTTCAAACACTTGACAAAGTAAGTTGCTTGAGTATTGAAGAATTCCAATATATTGAGTTACAGTTATTTTAATGAAATATATAATAGCAACCATTTCGAGGTTGTCTTGATGGCCGAAAAGAGATGACAAAGTTGTTCAAGCGTTGTAAAGCTTAGTAAGGAATAATTTACAAAGTTGAGTAGGGGGAAATCTTAAGTATACGCGGAAAGCGTGACAAGTAGATCAGTATATTGAGCTGGAGACCTTAATGTAATAAGCACGAAAGAGTTGAGATAAGTAATTGTCGTAAAGAACGAGTAAAATGGTACCAATGTCAATTAATTAACATACAGATATGTACAGATAATTCGACTAACAATTGATATACAATTGCAAATATAGAAAACCCTACATAACAAGCAAAAGTAAACATTGAAATATTTTTTAGGTGACTAATATTCGGAAAACACCACGAAAAACTGGCCGTCAAATCACAGAAGAATTTTACAAGGTGGATACCGAAAAATCTTGGTTTGACTGTGAACAAATCTTCGGTTACGGGGCAGAAGATTAATGGTCAAGCTGTCAAAATAAATGCTCTTTATTATTAAGTACATATGTACAACGTTATCATAAGTTCGTTAATAAAAAATTATACATAAATACAGGTTATTGTTACGTTAAGTGAATATCAAACCATATGGGAGCATGATCACTAACAAGACCATTTGCACCACTCCCTGTTTCCTCCGGAATTAAAGGATGTCTGAGCCCTTTTAATATGACACCAGAATCACCAGTCCAACGAATAGTGGATTCAGAAGTCAAAGAGAGGTTAGCAGAAAGCCATGCATTGTCATATGCTCTAAAATGGTTAGATCTGGATTTAGAATAATTCATGGTAGTTTGTTGTTCACCTTTGAGTACTGGCCATAAACCACGTTCACGCAATACCCGATAAACTTTTAAACAAACAAGTAGAGATAATCAGCATAACGAGGCAATAAATAAATCGAATCTAAATTAACAATGATGAGAGCTTTAATTAAAATTATGGAAATTATTTGCGTAATGTTAAACTTATGTACAAGCGAAAGTAAATAATGAACCTATAAGTGTACTAAATACAAATTCATAACGGCTCAGGAGTATCTGAGTGCTTGCATCTAACTGGCACAAAAGATTAATTGATCCCATTACGTTTATTTAATTGGGAAATTATTAAAGTATTGCCTCCAATAATGTGGGAAGGATGAATCGATAACAGTTTGGAAAATCTTTTTATCAAAAATAATACTAGTCAATAAAACGAAAATACATATAAAACGTGGTTGTAATAAACACTGTGCTTTTTCTCTAACACAATAATTACTGCTAAAACTAATTCATTTGTAAATACAACAGAACCAAAATTGCTACTTAAGGTAGGTATTATGAAACTAACTTTGAACTGTTGCTGGGATTATTCAGATAGAGGCTCGTGCAATGATGAATATATTCAGGTTGTGTTGAGAGAGTTCTTGTGAATTTATTCCTGTCAAAGCGTTAATTATCGTAAATAATGTAGCTTACAAATCAGTCGTGAGAGCCTTAAACCTCCAGGGATGTCTTTCAGCAGCGAATTCTTTAGACAACATCTATAATGACATTTACTTCAATAACCGTAGAAACTCTACATTCTTCTTTAAAGTTTGTATCTCTCCACGTTTGCATATGATGCGCACAAGTAGATTTAATTGATAAAAATTCTTACTGTATTAGTGTCCATTACTAAATCGATACAATACATTTGGTTGGTTAAATGTAATCCTTCAGAAAGTGACCGAATGGTATTTTTTACTAGAATGTTACATAACTTTTGACTACTTGACTTTGTTCCTGAAATTTCACTACACTCTATTTTGCATTAAGACTAGTCGTTCCTAAGAATACAGAAACAGATATGATTTTCATTATATCTTATTTAAACATGGATTTTTTGGTTTCCTGGAAATGTGAGAAAATATCTTCCCTGTAACATGTGATCTCTCGAGAGTAAGTTTAAAAACGTTATGCTAACAATTTACTTCGTGGAAACAGCGTAATTTATTTATTTGAATGAAGACGACAAATACTTGCAAAGAAAGTTTTAGTACGAAAATCAACCGCCAGATATCTGGTTTGTTTCAGTTATTCAGTATTATCATTTTCGAATGCTCGGGTTGTGTTCAAATTCTGTTTTATATGAGGTTTATGCGACCCAGTAAAATCATTTATTATCACAAAATAGGTGGACACAAACTACAAAGTGAATAGGTGCTGCATTTCTTTACAACATATAAATAACCTCACCTTATTGACGAAACTAGTTAAGTGTAATACTAGAGAACTTGTAAGAGACGGGTCATTTCTAGCTGCAACGCACATTCAGGGAAAAGCTGTAAGAAAAGTTCAGAACTTACCTGTATATCTCGATACTGTCACAAAACTTATTAATAGTTTGACCACTATCGATTCGCAACAGTAGACTACGATTAAATTGAAGACCATGAATACCAGCGTTACAAGCGAATTTTAGGTTTTTTTCTGAGTTTTTTAGATGGATATAGTTTTATGCAGATCCACGTATTAACAAATAACTTCCCAAACATCTGCATATCAATACATTTTATGTGAAGCAAAGTGTCCTTAAATAGAATAATTTGCTTACAATTGCCAGTCTCACTAAAATTTCGCGGTTAAATTGTGAAAAACTTTCACTAGTTATTTCACGTAGAATAGTTCGCATAACAAAATACATATGATTTACTTCTAAGTCTATTCAGAGAGATTTATTCAGTTACATAGTTCCTATTTATTATGGATCTAAACTAACCTTCATGTGTTGGGAAGAGGTTGAAATCACCAGCTATAATGAGATATGTTCCACCTGAAAAATAAATAACGATTCATATTAACTTGGAAATACGTTGTAGAGAAGTTTGTCTGTGAAAAAAATACGTGTAATTATTTAACAAACTTAAGGCTCGGAAATGATCGAAATATGTTGGTTTGCCTTTCAAAAAGTTAGGATTGTTTCCCTGACATTATGCCAGTTTTTGTACGTCAAAATCTATTCGTCGGTATCATAGATTCATAAGAGTTATCGGTTAATGATACACATATTAAATCTAAAGGTCGAAAATGGACGACCCTGATTACAGCCATTCCACAAATCCAAAACATTATGAAGTGAATATTTTAAGAACTACTGTTCATTGAATAACATAACTAGTTACTAAGCAAAAAACAATTCTTTGTTAGTGTTAAAAATAACAATGAGTTCCTTTAGTCATATACTACGAATATAACAAAAAGTCAAGAATCATTGGACTGGATAGTCTTAATAATCTTCACACGTAAATATTTCGAACTGTTCGCCCTCAGCAATCGTACGAAAACATTTAATCAAACACTAGTATACTTACTAGGTTGTGTTTCATAAAAAGCTTGAACAAGATAGCCAAGAGATTCAATTTCTGAGATAGTCCTGCCAATTTGACTATTTCTTAATCCACTTGCCTTCAAATGTACTGAAATGAGAACTAAGTTAATATGTTGAATCTGAAAGTAAATTAAAACAATCCATGTACATAGCGGTTGATGTCCAAATGGTAGCGTTGTAGATATTTACAAAATGAGTGACGATGTCCCAACACATTTCAAGAGTAAGACTCTACATGTAATAATCATATCAAAATAATATAATAACTGCCTTTGATCCTCACTAGCTCATTGAGGAACAAAAATAAATGCCACTTCATAAACATATACACATGTATCCTTAGAGATATGGGTAACATCTGTTGTATAAGGGCTGGTGATGTAATCAAGTTTCTCGAATATTACGTACATACACTTCTCAAGTTCATGACGAAATAGGTTACTCAGTAATAACTTAGAAACCATGTAAAACATTAAAATGATAAGTAGTTGAATAGAAGAAAAGTAGATGAAATTACACAGACAAAGGTATAGCATATCACAGACGATAGGGTTAAGAAAAACCAAAAATAAAACGCTGGAAAAAATAAGCAATTCAGTACTGGAAAGTGAGCCTACGAGAAGAATTAAATATTTGTAAATCACTAAGTTTAATCAGGTCAGCCAAAATCATGGCACATGGTTTCACATTAAATTGAACAAAGGAAATATTTTCAAACTAGCATCTGCTTTTAAACACCTTTTGTTACATACATGGCAGGAGGCTCCACATGGACTGCGTGTAAACGACTTTCTTGAAACAGGTAATGAGTTCGAAGACTTTTCCAATAAACTTGTCCGAGAAATCCGAATACCACATCGAGAATTATATAGAAAAACGGCATACTCTTTTGCACGGAACATGGAACCAGTTGGTTGGATCGAACATGACGCCTTCCAGTACGGGGGAGTAGACAGAGGAAATTTTTCAACCCATCGTTTTACGTGGGGAAGAGATGGATAATTTAGCTCATTGCACAGCTAGAATGGTTAGCAATATGTACGGATAAAAATGAGGAAAAAAGTTATACAGTTTGATAAAATACTGCTGGGAAGAATCGTCAAAATAACCATGTTTTTAAACTAAATGTACTACAGAGTTTAGACTTACATTAACTGTGATCATATCTCAGCTTGTCACCAGTCCGGGCATGGATTTGTGGGATAGTAAGGGCGGATGTTTGAAGATACTATGTAAAATATTTCAAAACCAGACACAATGGTGCAAACATATCTACCATATATATAAGCTAAAATTGTAATCCTTTAGCCACAATCACCCTGACGTCTTATTAATATACTTAGTTTTCCTAATTCCTTTTTACCGTTTTCTGTTTTACGTGGTGGATTATTTCGAAATGCAACAACTCGAATCCATGTCTTATCTTTCTAAGATCTCAAGAAGATAAATATGTGCATTCCACTCTCAAAAAAACCAGCCAGCTGAAAATAATATTGTACACTGAGTGCTATTTATTTACTATTGTATAACCTATATGCAACAAAGTTCTCGATCATCTACAGTTTGACCAGATGAAAATTATAGACTGGTTACCACAGATCAACTCTCAGGAAAATAATGAACACGAAAAACTGTCGCAAATACATAAATAAGAAATACGCTACTGGTCGAGCAAAACTGCGGACAAAAGTTAATAAACAAACCAATAATTACACGAATCACCCCTAATAAATAAACGTTAAAGGGATGTTATCTTAGCAACTATAAACACATACAGAGTAAAAATAACGTACGTATTTTTGGTTAAATTAAAAACCTTGTAATCACGTGCATTACTGGTCTGAAATGTTACACTGACTAATATAACAAAACATGAAGACAGTAAACCATACAAAATCAATGACTGTTATTTAAAGGATTTGCTATGAAATAAACTTGATGAGTCCAACGTAACCTGTAGGATACCTTACCCAGTAATTATTCGTACATTCGTCAAAAAGAGAGCTGATGTGATGTTTTAGTTGTAACAATCCAAAACAATGTATCGAAAGACAACTTACATAATCAGCAACTAAAGGGTCTGAAACTTCTTGAAGCAATATTAATGAGACGTTCATTCGTAAAATGGTCAGGCAAACAACTTCCATGAATCCTGGATGTTTAGCTTTACTTAAATCGAAGCGGTTAAGGTTCCAAGATCCGATCCGTATATGCCTTTCTATAGAAGAAATACGTGGAAGTGGTGGATCAAGTTCATTTAATAGACCACATGAAGCAATTAAATGGAGCCAATCACGGATGCCTTCCATTCTCAAAACTAACTGAAGTTGGGAGTGACAAAAGTCATAATTTTTCTCATCAGTTCTGTATTCTGAAAATTGAGAACTATAATTATTTACTGACTGAGGAAACGATTGCATAGAACAATTCTCCGACTTTCTATGTCCTTTTGTAGTATTCGAATGTTGATTATTGATCCTAAAAATTGGATTTTAACATCTTTCGATCAGACAAAACAGATTTTCACTATTTTTATTTAAATACTTACAGAGACGAGATATAATTTACTTACTTAATATCATGACTGGATTTATGCAATTGTTTGCCCTTTATTATGGTGCTTTTCAGCTTTTCAAGAAAAATAGTACTATCCGTATATTCATTCGATATCGCCATGTATATTTCCTGAATTACGTAGTTGAGCTTGAAAGGCGAAAAGCAATATAATCATTTATTATTATATATTACAAAAGCCTATAAAGATCTAGATACCACAGACTTCATGCTTGTTAAAAACAAACTGGTCTAGTGAATACAGGAAAAGTCATAATGAATGAAACCCTAGACCACTGACTCTAAACAACGTACACCAAACAGATGCAGCCTTAGTTATTTTATCGAGAGGTTATTCAGTAACGCGCTTTGGTTTACTTGCACTACTTATTTGGTTTCACATTTTTACAGCTGACGTTTATTTAAAAATGCATATATTAATAGTCAAAGGTTATGACTCAGAATGCTACTACACCACCATAATCTATATTTCATGGTTGTAGATCCTGAGTAAAATTTTGTGAAATTCGTTATAGTGAAGCCAATGAGCTTACTGTTGAGAAACAAATGCCGGACATACGCTTTTCGTCCTCTCAATTTCGTAAACACTACCCCCGCTGTGAGAAAGCAGTGGTTATAGACATATGGCCATATCGGAGCATTTTGAGGGGGAAAGCGAACTCTCCACCCTCGGTCGTACCAGAGCACTTGGGCGAGAAGAATAACCAACTTCCTTTCTTAGATTCACTTATCAGTCAAACGCAAAACGGTTCAATCTAAACACTCTGTCTACAGAAACTTCACATGAACAGAAGTATCAAGGTTTCCATAACTATCAACCAAACAAACAAAAACGAGGTATGACAGCGAACTTATTCAATAAGACTGACTATATCTGCATAAATGATACTATTAAAAACAATGTGAAGCTGAAACACGAAGTACTGATATTAAAAAAACTACAACTAAATTTTTAATATGAAATAGTATTGTTTAAAATAATTGAGTGATGATAATATATGACTATCACATATAATGAAATGTAAAGATATACCTGACGTTTGCACACTACATGCTCGACACTACTTATCGACCAAACGGAGAGATAAGTGATACGAACATAAGACTTACGCATGGTAGTTGGTTTTTAACTTTATAGGTCCACGTAAACATAGCATATGGATGTCCCAGAGAAAGCAAAATAGACTTACGAAAGTGCTGCTTCAGAGATATTATAGTGAATCATCATATTTCGAACAACTCTAGGAAGCTTTTAAAAGGGTAGGATAAAATAATTTTAATGGTTTCGGGTCAACTAGCCTAAGCTTAAAAACACCACAAAGTTTGAGAGATGTTTCCTTTATTTTAGAACTACTAGGGTATCAAAGCTAACAATGAAGTTTCATAAGTCCTGGATTCATTGATTGTTTAATGAGATCGTTTGACCGCAGTAAGAAGAAGGGGAAATTCACACATATTTATTTGGTTAAAGGTTCCATCATCCTCCGGAACGCATAGGCAGTTGTATCATACGAATAACAGTTATAAACCTCAAATCTGAGTTTAATGACGAACTGTAAGGGTATCATATGTGCTATCTTAAGGATTACTAAAACACGTGAAAATCTTTAGGAGTGGTTTCTTACCCTACTTGATTCACTTTACATTAGGTTCGCTTTCGAAGGGTTGATTGCTAAATCCTATCTAATATTGTGAGTATAAAGTGATTGAATACTCGGATTTTCAAGAAAGAATTTTAAGGAATCTCTAACAATTAGGGCTTTTGTGGAGTATTACTTAATAATTTTACACATTTGTTTGATATCTCGTGAATTTCGACCAAACCGGTGCTTTCCTGTAACTCTCCAAAGAGATCACAGGCTTCACGATACTAGTCACATTTTTTTATCTGTTTAAATTGCAACTCTTCCAACCCTGTAATTAATTCAGATACACGTAATATATCCGGTACATAGATAAGAGAAGTCAACAAGTCATAATCCAGGAGGATATGAGAACTTGCCTAAACTGCCACACTATATAAGTTTGACCCGAAGGCCCAAAACTTGTATCAAGTGTTTTTATATTCGTCGGCTGACTTATATAAAACCATTGATCTTATGTCCTCACTATCCTCCTCAGTAAGTTCTTTAAGTAGCACAAAACTTGCAGTCAACGTACGACAGTACGGTAATACACTGAGCACTTGTACCGTGTGTAGGCGCCTTCTGAAACATTCGAATAATATTTCAAGAATTCGGTCCCCAAAAAGCAAGCTTAAGGTTTCAACCCCATTTGACGTATTTTACTTTAGGCAGCCGAGCAGTAGTATCACTAGGACTGAAACAACGTGGCTCTAATTTGTGTACAAAATCTGCGCCTAGTAAATCACTGAAACTCACTATTTTAATACACTCAGCTAACCCACAAACACAGGTAGCATATGCTGACCAAATGCGAGTGAATATTAAGTATCTTTCTTAAGGTTTATCCTACTAATACCGAAATTCGGGAGCCAGACGAATACTTACCATTCAGGTTGTTAACTGATATCAGGCAACCGAAAAGTAACGAGTCGGAGCTGTCTCGGTCGTTTGGGTTAAAAGAGGATCACTGAATTACATTTTCTTCACTACCATAAATTTTTAATCCACTTCCACAGTAAGTATGAACAGTTTTCTATTATTGCTGATATCTGCCGTCTGCGTCTCTCATCTCATCACTCACTACTACTCCCTTTTTAACCAAAGATCTGGCAGTCAAGAAATTATCAGAAATTAAAGCCTAGATGGAAATGTCGCGGTTTGTTTTTGTGACAAAACCGCTGACGTCAAGAAACTTATGTTCATATGTACCTAAGGGACTGATGAACTACACGACAGTTGAATTAACGCTTGGTCATACTATGGACAGACATGAGAAAAATTATTAATTTATTCGGAAGTTAGATATATGCTGTTACAAACAGATTAAAATGGTAGACAGTATTATAAAGGTGTATTTCTAACTAACCTGTTCATTAGTTTGATTATCTGCACTACTGATATAATACAGGATTTTTTTAAGAATTTCAGCATTTTTCTCTGTAAGCCTGTTTTTGAAACATCGCCAAAAGCACTAAAATATAGCAAACAATGCAGAGTATGCTAACCACACTTTGAGCTAGTGGTTCTCAATAGACTAAACAATCAAGAAATATAGACAAGCAGAAGACATGATTTGTTGTGCTCTCCTCAACCTTAACGGATGAATTTCACTAATCACTGAAGTCAACAGTGAAATAAGTTTCATGTAGAAAATTAACTAACTTCAATGTTTCCTGCTTCCTAACGAACTTTATAAAGAAAAACAGGTAAACTAGAGGGAATCTTATTAAACAAAAATAAGAAGTTATTAAGTAATGGGACAAAACTAATCGCGGTAATTCCTACAGAGAACTCAGTACACTGTATTAATCCCAATAACCGTGCTTATAGCATCGTTTCAAAACTTCCACAGAACCGGAAAGCAAATTAGTTGCTGAAAGTCTAAATGGAAAGCTGAACAAATAAACATCCGTCTCTCCACTTTATGCGTCTGAATCCATTTACCTACTGTACACATTGATCCATGAGCAGTCCTAAAAACTTAAGAATAACGCTGAATTATATTTAGCTCCTAACAACAGACCTTATTGTCACAACTTACACTATGACAAAAAGCGATAACATAGGTATGAAGGATTCAAGCTTTACATTAACGCTAAACTAATTTATTCTGTAACTGCACATCCTTTGGTTTAGTGTTTCTAGAGGTTGTAACTGTAGCTTGGTTCTTTAAGTACTCAACTTTCTATTCTTAATTAACTAGTTTGAATTCTCATTTATTTTATTTAATATTAGAAGGCAACTGATGTACCTCAACTTCAATAAGTGTGACCAACGGTAGAGTACAGAAAATTCTACTGTTTAATGCTTTCCTGTTAATAATAAATAAATTGGAAGTACGATATTAATTATAAGCCCCTAGTCTTGTATCTGAGGTGCTCTATAAACAAGGAAAAGTGACAATTGGAATAAAGTTAAAAAAGAGGGAAGATTATATGGTATGAAATAGGAAACAAGGATATATATAAAAGGATACAGTTCATACAATACAACCATGAAATATATATCAGATGGTTTTGCCAAAGTTTAACGTTAATAGTAAACTACAATATGATCAATACTGGTTTCTACTTTGATTCATATTTGATAGCATCAAGGTTATTATATCTAGTTTGAACACATTATGTATTGAATATTCGGAATATTTTTAACTTACAAAACACCAAGCACAGTATATGTCAGAAGACTAGCCTTTATGCCTTGAGGTACCCCAGCCTACTCCCGCAAAACGTTTGATGATACAATTAGATTTCTACTTCAAGAAATCTTTCAAAATTCGTGTACGGATAGAGTAACTCAGTAGTCGAAGCGTCCTAACACGTCGGAAGTGAAAGCTGAATCTGACAACTACCAGAGGCCATTTCAGCACGGCCGAGCCCACCGGCAACAATTCTGGTCTAAGTGGAACGCTCTGTGTAGTCGATGGCACACCATTTATTAGCATCCAAAGGCATCTTGGATGATGACCTGTTTTTGAACAACAACTGAGTTGGTCTGTTGCTCAAACAAAGTCAAAAAGACCGTTCTATTCTCCAAGGTTCGCGACTACTGATACACCTAATGAAGCGATCACCAAGGAGCTCTAATTTGTAAAGCACTACAAGTCGCCGGGTTCAGGTGACGTATTCCCGGCTATTTTAAAGGAAGATGGTAAACCTCTAGTCATAAAAATGGTTAGGTTGCTTGGAAAGGTTTGGGAACTAGTGTTGTAACATCCTAAAATAAGGCGATGTCGTCCCCATCTTTAAAAAAGCCCTACGTTCTTTCCAAAAACTTCCGGGGGATGATTTCATTTTCGACTGCGTTAACAATATTTGATTACGTCAAACTCCACAAACTATGCAAAGATTGTGAAAAACTGACTCGCCATTTACAGGTCGATTTTTTGCTTGTGTCGTGAATATATTAATCATGTTCTTCCCTCAAAAGCCTGGGACACCACTTACTCGAGTTCAACAATCGCTGTTTTAGTTCAGCTCGGGGCTACCTTTGACTCAATGGACAAAACTGAATCCCCAGATCATCCGCTTAAAAAGTGTACGCGTACGAGTTTTTTTATTAAGGCTTTTTGCACAAATGACTTAATCAGAGTAACGACACACATCTCCTGAATGTATCGTTCTAAAAGGATTTGTCACTGACATCTTGAAAAACAGCTCTGAAGGAAGTACTCAGTGGTGGTGCATCTGATACCTGGACTTTCCAACCCCAAATATGTACATGGAATCGCTTTGCTGTATGGTGATATACAATCAACCCAAAATATGCCTAATGAATTTTTAGTGTCTGTAGGTACGGCATGTACTATGTAATTTCCAAACGCAATGTACTCCAAAGATTATGCAATTTTATGCACTCATTCTTTGTGATGAGCTTTTGGAAGCGACTAAAAAGCCAGTGCATCTACGTCATTTTGTACTTATTTGATTGTGCTCCCTTTCCCTCGCTTATTTCTTCACAATCCCACCTTGATTTTGTCCATTTGTACCAGATTTTAGAATTAAATAAATAAAAATGGATGAAATTACCCACAGTCGAGACAAAACCAATATAATCAATTAATTTTACAAGTTGGAACCCAACTTTGATTTGCATACTAATGAACTGCGTTAGATAAAATCAGAATATTAAGAGCTCAATCCAAATCAGTTTGACAAGCATTAAATTCATCCCTTAGTCAAAATTAATTGGAAAACTAACATTTGAAAACTGAATGACTCAGATGAAACTCATCTGGATACTTTAAATTATTGCCTTATAATGTACATACGAAACATAACCCCTCACTATACATTTGAAAGTAAACAGCTTATGAGAACTAACTAAGCAATCGGCTACCCCCACCAAATACGAGCCACACATCATTGTTGTCATACCACACACTAAGCAGTTACTGGTTTTGTAAAATCAGGCAGCGTGATTACTGACCAGTTGTTGACCCAGTATAATCCAACTGACACTAAAACTTATAAGCCGCACACGAAATAAGGAAGTAACTTTATGATTAACGTGTTTCAAGACCCTCTCCCAGCTACTGTAAGTATTAAAACCACATGATCATGGTACAAGTTTGACTTTTATCAGGAAAATAAAGAAAAGTTGATTATTTGAAAAGACGACCTAAAAGACCAAAACAGGGGTATTTATGTAAGCCATCAGGATTTTGAATTTTCTGACAATCTGACTTAAAGGCAAACCCCAGATGGGAATAAAATATATCTAAACTTGCCACTATTCAGTGCCAAGGTTGGACTTGATAGTTTCAAATAAATTGAGCATTAGATAGAAAACTAATAATAAATATAGTTTTTGTTAAGTCCGAATGAGTAGGAAAACTGTGTTTCTGACGTTCCGTGACTACGGATACCTTATATTCTCCAGCCTTGGAATTTTCCCGACGGAGACTTATCTACAGCAGACGTTTGAGTAGCGTCGAATACCATGTCTTACTGATTACGATGAATCACTGCTTTTAGTTTCATAGAGTGGTCAACCCGTCATGTTTCTGAGCACTTGCTGAAATGATGTTCACAGACAATGAGACATTTGTTAGAATAATTCAGTCTGGAATTGGGAGAAAATATGTATGTTGAAGAGAAAATACACCCGTAATCAATGGCAAACATAACGAGAAAGGGAAACAGACATCTGGAATCCAGCCGCAGTCAGGTGAAAATAACAGACGAAATACTGCTTCACCGTGGTATTTTTGGTTTATTCCCATCTTCCATATTACTTCACTTTTCTCGTCAATACAAGTACACACCCTCAGGTCTCATAACACCATTTTCCTGTTTAAACAAAACCTATTACATTGATGTTAGTTATATACGTCACTATGTTGAAAAAATATTACTTCATTGTTTTACTAACTTAAAGAGGAGACATACAATACAAAAACAAGACATCGTCCTTGACTCTTCAAAAGTTGGTAGCGTTTCAATATCCAAGCACGGGTACTTTGTCGAGAGAGCTAAAGATGATTTCGCTTTGCGAGCTTGCGTTTCCAGTAGTAACGAACGATCTGGGTCCCTGTTTAGGAACCTAGGTATATTAAACAAAAGCCATATTAGTTTCAGTTTCAGTTTGGGAAGGACGAGGCTCGATGGCCTATGTTAGTCCTGGCAATGGTGGTCAGCTGACAAGTAATTTGTTCTCGGCTTGTGAACTTTTTTGGAGTGTCCTCGTAAATTCTCTGTTTTGGAAGACAAGAAAAATGAGGGCATGTTAGGTGCAAATTTATCACTAAGCAATTTGTAGACTGTAATCAAGTCGCCTCTAGTTCTGCGATATGACAACGGGAAAAGGTTCAGCTTGGCCAGTCGAGATTCATACGGAAGCTTCGCTATTCCGGGAACCAGCTTAGTCGCCGTTCTCTGAACCTTTTCCAGAAGCTCACTGTCTTTTTTAAGCAGGGGCTAGCCGCTTGTATGCAGTACTCAAGTTTAGGACGAACGAACACTGTATACAAAGTCAAAAACGTCTTAGCGTCGACATGACTAAAAGCCCTACGTATTGACCATAACGTTCTAAAACTTTTGGCGGCTATTGCACGGCAGTGTGCAGTAGTCTTTAAGTCTTGACTAACGATAACTCCTAAGTCATTATATGTCTGGACGACAGGTAGCTCAGTGTTATTCATCGTGTATGTATCTGTGCCTTGATGACCGATATGCATCACAACACACTTGGAAGTATTTATCGGCAACTGCCATGTTTGAGACCATTCAGATAATCTCTTCAGGTCATTTTGAAGTTCTAAGCTATCACTCTTACATCGTATCGTTTTCCATATCTTGACATCGTCAGCATATAGCAAGACCGATGATGATAGGAGACAAGGAAGGTCATTTACATACAAGAGGAATAGCACTGGCCCCAAAACTGTA